GCTGGAGGGGAAGGGGTGATAGTTGGCATGCAGCAGGGAGCTGGCCATGGATGAGTAGCAGGGTGGGAACTTCAGCAAGTGTATAAGCAGGCTTCACCAGCTTCACATTTGTTTTTAGTACCAATCCCATCCTTTTTCGGTGAGTTTTCTCTCGTGAACCACGCAGCAGCTCATCAGGGGACAACCCGAACCCCCAGTAGTCATTCTCCGCCACGGTGGCGCCGGCGCTCCGATCGCACTGCCGATGTGTCGCACGCGGTTCGTATTCGCAGGCCAGGCTTCGGACCGCGCATGTTCGCGATGCGTCGCCTGGCGCGCGCGGGGCGCGCCACGGGCGGCGGTGAGCTTTTCGACGACCGGGCGTAGCGCCGCCATCAATCACAACAGACTGTCAACATCGACGCTCGGCTCCGACACGTTCGACCTGTTTGCGTTCGCGCCCGTCCGTCCGCCGACGGCAACGGCATCTCGTACAACATCGCGACCGCCGCTGCTGGATGGTCGCGTCCGACTGGCGGGAGGACCCGGCGGGGGGAGAGCCGGCCGGGGGAGACTTCCTCGAGAACGTTGTCGCCTCCGTGAGCGACCTGAGAGATGTTCTGACGCGGTCGTGAGAGAGGAGAGAGGAGAGTTCCCCGTGAAGCGCCGGTCGGCAGGTGGAGGCGGGGGTCAGAAGCGGTGGCGTGGCCGTGCAAAGATGTCGACGTAAAATGTTTTTAGCCTCCAACGAAATCTTCCCGAGTGTTTTTACACGCTGGGTTATACAATTCTATTATATTTCTTCGTTTTTATTATACAGTGGTCAAATGTGTTTAACGAGAGATTTATATGCGAATATGATTTTATCCTAGTATAAAATGTGCTGTGAAGTTTGATGTGCGGTATTACTAGTATGACAATTAGAACTGACATCTGGTTTTTTGTCTTACGTGTTCTGTGATGCTTTAAATAATTATATTTACTTGGATATATCTAGGTTTACAGGGCTTTGTCTGCCTTCATTCCAATATTAACATTTCCACTGGAATTTTAATTCATAATTTTAACGTTTTTATATTAATGTTATTCAGAGTGCTTGTTCCGCTTGTTCCCTATTGTTAATAAAATTTTATTCAATTACCCAAATATTCATTTGGCCTTTGACTGAAATTCGCAAACAACGATAACCAATAATAGATATTTATACATACATACAGTTTAGTGTTTATGGATTGTACGCAGAGTGTATACATTATACAAAACCCAAATATAATGTTGAGATTCACGCTAAAAAACATCTATCGTGTAAAATCACATAAATCGTCTTTGCTTGCAAGTACTTTCGTGTTTATCTGCAGGCAGCTACGTATTTGTAGCTAGCCGCATGCGAAGATATCCTCTCCGATACACACGTATCTCCACGAGTAATTAGGAAAACGGGACAATCGTCCGGGTTCTTTTCCCCGACGTCCGTCGGCGGACCGCGCGGCGATAACGCCGCCTCCGCACATCTCTCCCGTTTTATTCCGTTCACAAGCCTGCCGGTACGTACAGCGATCGAACGTCCCCGGCAACAATCTCTCTCGCCGTCTGTGTTGCAGGCCACGGCTTCGACCGGCACCTGTACGCGATGCGGCGACTCGCCGAGGCGCACGGCAGGCGCGCCGACCTCTCGATGACCCCGCTACGCCGCGCTCACCACAACATCCTCTCGACGTCGACGCTCTCTGCCGTCGCCGTGGAGATCGGAGGCTTCGCGCCGGTCGTCGCCGACGGCTTCGGCGTCGGCTACGGCATCACGGACGCTCGCAGCGGCTGAACCTGATGAGCTTCCCCGGGAGTCACGACCCCGCCGGCTTCGTCGACTGCTTCCGCGCGAGCATGGATGACATGTACGCCGTGCTCGAGGCGGCGAAGAAGTAGAGGTCGGGTCGGGTCGGGTCGCGACCCTGCGGACCTCGTCGACTGCTTCCGCGCGAGCATGGAGGACATGTACGTCGTGCTTGAGGCCGCGAAGAAGAAGTAGAGATCGGGTCGGGTCGGGTCGCGACCCGCCGGCTTCGTCGACTGCTTCCCACGAGCAGGAGGACATGTACGTCGTGCTTGAGGCCGCGAAGAAGTAGAGGTCGGGTCGGTTCGCGACCCCGCATCCGATATGGTCCGGAGGTCGGCGACGCCGCGTCCGAGAAAAGGTCGCGACCTCTTCCCGAAGATCTCGGCGGGTCGAGGCCTCACGTCGAGGAACTATGAAGGTCACGATCCGATTCCGATGACCTCTGCCCACCTCTGTTAGGTGCGTTGGCTCCGGGTTGGTCGGCCTTGTAAGAGGATGAAGGGACTCTAGCTGTCGGCCTCAGTTTTTTCTGGGTGTTATGCACCCGCGTTACCTCGTAAAGAATGTTGTTCGCAGTCCGAAGGGGCTGTAGCGAAGGAGAGAGCCTAATGTTGATAGATCGATCCGATCAGCATTGCAGGTGTTGACTTGTTTCCAGCGTTTGTTTTTCTTTGTTTGTTTTACTGTGTAATATTAATGAGTGATGATTAAAATCCTGCTTTTAAAGTATAATTGTTGCACAGATAAACTACTGATAAGCTAGTGTGTTGGTAACAAATGACAATTCCCAAAATCGGAATGCCACTCGTTACTCGGTAATCTTTCAATTGTAATTCTGGCATGTAAGTAAATTCTCTGAAAATAGTGCCGAACGCTGGAATCGTGGTGCTCTCTGTAGCCCCAAGCAATTTATTTGACGTGCTAGGTGGTTTCACAAATGGGTGCAGTTAGGCTGCCCCTGGTTATATGGGAACAAACTGCTGATGCAATGAGGTCATCACTGTGCCTACGTCTGTTTCATTCAAACTGCTTTGCACTGGAATTGGTAGGCTAATGGCGAGGGAGATTGTGATAGGGGAATCCATTATAATACACTACTTAACTCCGAGGGCCAACTTGTCTTCATTTCATATGTCTATCTGTTGTGTACTGTCTTTTGCCGACGAAATCATATCGAATAGGATGGCCTGGGGTTAGAAATTGTTGATTGTACTTGTTGTTATTATAAGCATTATTAAACCACTGTTGGGTGGACACTGGACTATAAAAAATACTGTTATCTCTCGACTTTTTGTCACAAATATAACTTCAAGAAATTTCCAAAAAGCCACACACAACACAAAGATACCAGAGAATAATTTGCTAATTCTTACATTTTATTCATACAGTACGTGTATGCACCATTCATAAATGCATTGAGGGCAGCTTTATTTTTTCTTCACTTATGGAACGTCAGCAAAATGAAAAATGCGGGACTAGTCTACCGAAATAACATTACTAGACTACTTTCTTCTGTCAAAAAAAACTGTTTATCCGATCCCACAAGCATAGCACCAGCTGTTGCTTCTACAAGACTTCACTAATGTGAAATTAATGAGGATAATTATTAAGGCAATGTATAGGGATGGATGAATCATCATTCACCCCCTAGATGAAACGTACTCTTACATTTGTCGGTGCAGGTTCTTTCACATAAACATTTGGTTCTAGTTACCGAAAATCGAGAGAGACTGTTGGTCACAACTGCTCTTAACGTGATCATAGATTTATAGCGACACAAATTCACGGACGGGCAACACACGCTGACCTATATATGCAATAACAAAAGAAGATAATACTCATAATTATAATACTTTATGCATTGTTATGCTATGTATTACAATACTTTATGGATTATAATACTATGTATTATAATATTCTATGGATTATAATACCATGTATTATAATACATTACGCATTATAAATAATATGTGTTGTAATACTTCAGTATTATCTTCTCTTGATAACAACTGCATTGTCCTACCACCACAATGTTCACAGATGAGGTCACTTGGCCGCCATATTGCTCGACTGAGAACGTAACGACATGCATTGGGCCATCCTTAAAAAATTCTATGTTTGCTGTCCTCCGACCGACCCACGAAAATAGCCGCAACCCAAAAGTTTTTTTTTATATTTTGGGTTCCATTTTTTTGTTTTTTGTTTTTGTTTGTTTGTTTATTTTGTCTATGTAAAGATAAATATAAATATTATCTCTTCTACTAGTATTCTGGAAGGTGCATATACATTCCTCATAGTTAAGACTGAAACACAAAGCATGTGTGGCAAACATGAGGACAGACTTAATATAACTATTATGCCTCGCACACACAAAAAATACCTACCTACCTACCCACTAAAAAAATCATGGGTCGGGGACAGCAAACATAGAATTTTTTAAGGATGGCCTTGGATTGATGTTCACGCTCCTCACAGACAATCCCTCCTAAGAACGACGGAAGCACAGCGGTGAAGTGACATCAAGCAATGCCCGCGATGCGCCACCCGCATATTATACACAGATCGGCGGCTGCACCTCAGTACCGCCTGCGTTTCCCCGACAGCAGCAGCAGAGATTCGGAGGCTGCGCGCGGCATCTTCTTCGCTGTCGTCGCGGCAACGCCGCCACTGCGCTGCGACTGGGAGCTCTCCTGCGATGAGGAGAACGCCTTCCTCTGCCTCCTCTGCAGGGCTTCTCTCCGCTTCCTCTCGATCTCAAGCGGCGAACACTGCTGGCTGGCGGTAAGGATGCCGTCGTCCCTTGCCGAAGAGACTTGCGCAGGAGGAAGAGCAGGAGGGACTTGCGCAGGAGGAAGAGCAGGAGGAGGAGGACGGTCGGGGGCGGGGGGAGACTGGGTCTCCATCTTCTGCAGGGCTCGGAGGACCGCCTCCGTGTGCAGAAGGAAGCTGTCGTCATCGCCGAAGAGGTCGTCCTCGCCGCCGCAGGATGCCGTCCGGTCGGCGCCACCTGGTGGTTGGATGTGCGGTTTACTGGTGGCGCCGCCTGGCAGCTGGCTCTCACGATTGGTTGTCGGAACTTGCAGTTCAGTAACATTGTGCGTTTTGGAGGAATTACATTCACTGATGCCACCTAGTGACGAAGCCGTCAGTGTTTTGGCGCCACCTAGTGTTGAATTCACTACCGTTTTGGCGCCACACAATGTTGATGACGTCTTTAATGGTCCAGCGCCACCTAGTGGTAAAGTTGTTCGTGGTCTGGCGAAGCCACCTGCAGCGACAGACGGATCTCTCTCTCCTACAGACTGCACTTGCCGAGCACTTCTTCCCCACGTCTGAAGTCTGCCCTCGCTGCCACGAGTGGCCACCGCCGTCGGCGCTATGGCAACCGTCGACGGCGGCTGGATCGAAGACATGATAAAATCTAGACTGTCGTCGGGCTCAACCAGCGCCTGCAGAATGTCGTCGCTGATGCTGCTGTTTCCCCAGTCTAACTCGGATCCGAACGCCGACTGCCGCACACGTGGCCCCGTCGTTGGCTTCCCGTCCGGAGATCCTTTGCTCGGGCGGGCAGACACGCCATTGTTCCCGACGACGAGTGACCTCATCGTCGTATCCACGGAAACGTCGACGCACACGCCGGTAGCCATTGACACATTCCTCCGACAAGCGAACGTCGGTGGCGGCACGAAGCAGGTGGCGCCGGCATCGCCATTGTTTGGCAATGCCAAGTTGGGCTCGTTGTCCTGAGCGAGAGAAAGCACGGATGCCGCGGGTGAACGCGACGCACGCTTCTTAGTCCGGCTCAGCGAACGTCGAATAACGGGCGTGCTCGTCATTCCGGTGATGGCGCCTCCTTGTGGCGGGAATGTAGGGGACGGTTTGAGGACGTCGAGATCGGCTGGCTGCGCGGGCGCCACCTCGTGGCGCTCAAACGAATATTCGTCAAACAGGTCGTCATCGCCCCAGTCGTCGTCGTGGATTGCGCCACTCGGGAAGCAGTTTGTTGCCACGACGACGGGTGCCACGTCCTCCGGGGACGTAGATCTGCCATGATTGGCCACGTCTGCTGCAAGCGGAGCCGTCTCCTCGTCACCGAAGATGTCATCGATTGTTAACGCCTCTGCCTTCCCATCCTGGCCGACTTCATCGTCTGCCGCCCGCCTGGCATCTGCGTCGTCGGTGGCGCCATCTGGTACCACGCGCTGCTGAAGATTAGCAACCAGTTCGCGGAGTTCATTGTTGAGAACGGTGGCGCCACCGTTGGCTCTCTTCTTCCGCGGTCGTTGTCGGTCAGCTCTCGCCGCTGCATTCTAAAAAAAAAACGTCGAGAAACGTGCGCTGTCAGTCGAATATAATTCGTTTCGATTTTTATTGTATGAGTCAAGGAGGTTGGCTACAGCGATTTCCCCCTCTACTGGGCTCTAGACGTAGACGATCAATTACAAAAATGCCAGGACAACTTGAAACGCTAATACCGATAGCGCTTGCAATCACGTTCGCGCTCGGCGCCGAAACGTTGCAGTGAGAGAACAAACCTGGCCATTGCAAGGCGCAGTCCATTGTTGCAGCAGCGGGTTACCCTGCGGTCGCCGCTCAGCGTCTAATTTGTGAAGCACATCACAGACTGTCACCTGAAGAAACAACAGCATAGCGATTAGTAAATTACATGTATGACAAGTTATTATACACTTTAGTTTTAATAATACGCATGGCTGGCCATTATACGGCATTTAAATACTAATTAATAGTACTAACACTAGTATTACGGTTTCCGAGACCAGAATCTGTAACTGTATTATTTTTTAAACTAAATTTTTGTCATTCAAATTGATTCATATATGAATTTCATAGAGAAATGTGAGTATAACTACTAAGTTAAAAGGCAAACGTGGTGTTCGGCACTGAAATACATCTAAAACGACTACGCGAACGAATGACATCGGTACTTTGAGCATCAGTTAGTTTTATCTGCGACGTGCTGCTCACCTCAGGCTCATTCTTACGCAGCCTAGCTTCGAGATCGTCTCTCGTCTTTGACGCGCACGCGCGAGTATTTCTTTGATTAGTTTTGCCCGCTTTTAGCGACAGCAAACGGCGCATCGGCGAAGGGGAATTGTTATTCCAAATAACTTCGCCTTCTTGCTGCGTAGCTGGTCCATCGAAGGACAGGTAAAGCTTACTAGTTCCCGCACACGGCGAATTTTCCATCTTTCCATTTCATTTTGAACAACTAAATTTAGCGCCTGCCAGCCATGATGTGTTGTGATCACGTGATACAGTAGCGCCGCCGTGTGGTTGAATAAAACAATTTTTTTTCCGTCTGCTCTGAAATCGCGCGTATCTGTCGATTCTCAATACTCAATAGTATACAAGAGCGTTTTATCTACTAACTCACAGATGTATGCATCTACATTTTATTATTTATTATTTGTTTATCAATTTAATGACGTTACATTGGGAAAGCATAAATATATCAACATTAACAAATAAGCACCTCACCGTCAGTGCAATTATAAAAAAAAACAGCATAACAATTTGCTGTGATGAAAATCACAAATGACACGTGATGACACCAAGAGCATAAAGTGTTCCAAGTGTCCAAGTATATGTACGATTACTTAAACTTAAACAGTATGTATATAGTACTACTATCAACAACAACAACAGTATAATCGCTGCCGTCCGTTAGAGCCACTCACGTCTAACCCACATCTACGCCATTCACACGTCACCTTCAGTCAGAGTTCGCGATGGTTTCTAGTTAAACCCTTTACAACCAAGCTAATGGCAATCGTGTTTGTACCGAAACACGATTGCCATTAGCTTGATAACTGCTATAAAGGTACAAACACGACCTCGCCGCCGCTCTTACAGCGGCCTGTACTTATAGGTAGGTGGCTTACGCGGCCCCGATAAATACTGAGATAACCCCAGTAGCAGTTCGACAACTTCGACAATCCCTGCAATAAAGTTCTGCCGTCTGCTTTGGCGGATTGCGTACATATAAAACAATTTATATAATAACCTCATATAACTAAATAAATGGATACATTAAGCATATATATATATATATATATATATATATATATACGTCCTAATTCAGGCAGCTGCAGGTTGAGGCTAGGGTCCCTAGTTGAGGCACCATGTGTGATGTTTTGGAGCCCGCATGCGTGCGTGTGAGCGAGAGGGGTAGGTGGGTGTGAAGGGGTGGGGGGGATGAGTCGGCTGCGGATTGGTAGCTTGGCGCATCCGCTGATGTGGCATGCCAGCTAGCTGCTGCGTACGTGGTTGTATGCGCGTGTGCATATGGGAGGGCGCTCCCTTCTCCATCTCCTCCACAACTCACATTCATTCAGAGGTGCAGGCGTGCGCCAGCGTGCGTTTGCGCATTACGCATTGCACAACATAGTCGTTACCCGTTCATTGTCGAACCTTCTCTGCGGACGACCGAGCAAACGAACGAACAAACGAGGACGTTCTGCCGTGAACAGCGAAAACCGTTAGCCAGCCTCCGTGTGAGATCTCAGAAAGAACGGTGTCAGGTGTTATAGCTGTACTCAGCCGAGTTGAACAGTCGGTCGTGGAGACTGTGGACACATCCATCATTTACTTGACAGCTCTACAGACAACCGCTACTATACAAACAACCGATACCGCAGACAACAGCCATCACAGATAACAGCTACTACAGAAAGCCGCTACCACAGCCAACCGCTACTATACAGACAACCGCTACTTCAGACAACCGCTACTATACAGACAACCGCTACTTCAGACAACCGCTTCTACAAACACGTGAAAGACTACGGGAAGCGCTATACGTACATCGCGGCCACGTATACACTATATCAAGAGCGTATAAAGAAGGTATATATATATATACCTTATATTATACGCCTTCTTTATACGCTCTTGACTATATACATCGCTACGCGAGCGATATATACTACAGAGAGCATCGCCGTAGTGTACGGACCGCGGCTAATGCCAGCTTGTACCCGATTATAACTCGCGTGGGGAGATCAGCCACGCTCCGGCGGACATCCGAGTCACCGTAGGTAGCGCGCACACACGTAGGCGCGTGTAGCGCACTGCTGGTGTATATAGCACACGCAGACGTACACCCACCTTCACACATGGTCGTCGACGCGACTCGGATGAGGAGGCGTCGTTGTCTCGCGAGCAGACGTCATCATTGTTATCATCGTCATGGCGACGGAGAATGACGTAATCACTGAGTACCTGCACGCGGAGATGGAACGGGGTGACTACGAGACCGGTGAGTGAATATAAACAATATCACGTACGCTCGTCTCTAATCACGTCTCTCGTCTACGTCTCTAATCTCGTCTCAATATCACGTACGCTCGTCTATATTCTCTAAAGGCTTTACAAAAGTATTACAAAAGTTACACAAGGTATTACAAAAGATATTCATCAAATAATATTCTTAAATTTCGATGGAACTGTACCGTAGAAGAAAAGGGAGTCAGCGTTTATCAAATTGATAGATCAACACTGCGGATTGCAATAGAAATCAAGGGGTTCAATCTTATACAAATAAAAAAGAAAGAACCGATCGAATCTTGCATGATATATATAACCCCAAAGTTTTTTCGTGTCCTATTTTCATGTCTCTCCTTACACATTTGCGAAAATGACACCCGCGCGGGGCTTGCAGTAGGCTTGTGCCCTTATTGTACTTGGTAGTACACTCGTATAGTCATATGTGATAATGTGAGTCACGTATAATCAAGGGAACAAGTGTACCAAAGAAGCACCAAAACACACTTACTAACCTTCGCTCACCTATTATTTTTCATGCGTAACGTGTATAAGCATGAACTGAAAATATATTTGCGCTGTACACCATGCAATCAAGGCTATGTGAATTAGATTGGGCGTGCGTCTATATTTGACTGTACATCTAAACGCTTGTTTAATACGTGTGAATAATGGTCAGACAGTATTGAGCTGTTATTGTAGCCTTCATGGAATTACGTCCACTCAAACCCGTCTGGAGGACGGGTAATAGCTAGTATATTATAATATGGCATTATGGTATTATCTTGGTATTATTATAATGGCATGTAAGAATAGAGTTGAACAATTACACGTTACTGGTTGTGTATAGCTCTTATATGGGAGTATAATTGGGCATTTATATATATAGCCTTCGCTGACGGGTCTAATTTGAGGATGGCGATTTTACCATTTATCTCTCACTTTTAGTTGAGGATGTATTTACAGTAAACGAAAAATACTGATATTTAGACTCGAGTCATATATCAATATTTGTTTAAATTTTACTATAAAATTACATACAATTAAAAAAAAAGGGAAATGGGGTGATTTCATAGTACAATTTCACTTATTGAGATATTATTCGCGTTCTAACGTAGCGGAATGTATTCGCGACGCCCAGAAGGGGCCCCAGCTCGATTCGCGCGAGCACACGCGGCACGGTTTCGGAAGAGATACGGAAAACGACACTTCGGCTCTTTCTACTATTATATAGTAGATGACATTGAAAGACATTGACGCGTTCGTACGTTTGCACTGTGTGATTTCTAAGCATGCGTGCGGTTTACCGCGGTACCCAGCCCTCGCTTATATGCCACGTTGCCACCGTATTATCAGGAGTAGTACCTATTATCTACTGCAGTTGGCATGCAGGTACAGTTGCAGTTGCTGCTGGTATTATCTATTTGCGAAGGAATAACTCATCAGTGCACGTTGCTGTCCGACGCGTACGTAATAGCGTCATAAAAGGACCCCCCTGTAGCGCAAGCGAGTCTATAGCTGGTATTCCACATAACTATGAGGGTCATGACCTCCATATTACAAAGGCTTTAGCACCGTCACCTTAGCATGAACCAGGGCACAAGGCGCGCACACGTACGACCCCATCACCACTGATTGTCACCTATAAGCTACCTGCTTACTCCCCACCCCAACACACACATACAAACACACACTACACTGTAGATAATAGAGAGAGAGCTGAGCGATACAGTAGTACAGATCGACTGCTGCAGTTACGCGCGCATCTTAACGTTATCTCTAGTCTGTAACGTGGTTGCGATGTAGGTGGCTGGCTGGTGTGTGGATGCTTGCCTCCGCTCCCCGCCTGCACGCGCATCCGCCTGTCTGTCTGCGACAGCGAGAGCAGTTACACGCCTATATCACCTATACATATGCGTCACGTAGTTGTAACCGGCGTATACGGTCATCATCAACATCATCATCATCATCATCGTCATCATCATCATCATCAACAACAACAACAACAACAACAACAACAACAACAACAACAACAACAACAACAACAGTAGCAGCAGCAGCGGCAGCGGCAGCAGTAGCAGCAGCAGTGGTAGGAATAGCAGCAGCAGCAGCAGTAGCAGCAGTAGCAACAGTTACAGCCGTAGCAGCAGTAGTACTTAGTAGCAAAACAGCAGTAGCAGTATATTTGTTGGCGTGCAAGCGGCACTTATAGGAGCTCATGCAGGCATGTTTCCCGGCGTGTTCCTTCTGCACCACAGCAACATCAACAACAACAACAACAACAACAACAGTATAATCGCTGCCGTCCGTTAGAGCCACTCTAGTCTAACCCACATCTACGCCATTCACACATCACCTTCAGCCAGCGTTCGCGATGGTTTCTAGTTAAACCCTTTACAACCAAGCTAATGGCAATCGTGTTTGTACCGAAACACGATTGCCATTAGCTTGATAACTGCTATAAAGGTACAAACACGACCTCGCCGCCGCTCTTACAGCGGCCTGTACTTATAGGTAGGTGGCTTACGCGGCCCCGATAAATACTGAGATAACCCCAGTAGCAGTTCGACAACTTCGACAATCCCTGCAATAAAGTTCTGCCGTCTGCTTTGGCGGATTGCGTACATATAAAACAATTTATATAATAACCTCATATAACTAAATAAATGGATACATTAAGCATATATATATATATATATATATATATATATATAATATAATATTATATAATAAACTATATGATAAGGGTGTAGCATCGATAGTAACTGCTTTACGTTCGCATCCGAGCCGCGCCGTACTAATAAACGGATGACGTCATTTGCGGGCATTTATCGTCCCACAGACCTGCCGCTTGCGGCAGAACTGGAAAGTTCCTGTTGAGAGGAACAAAGAGCTCGAGGTGGCACTGAGGGATCAGCAGCCACACCAACGATGACCAGGCGCTCCAGATCGAGGTACTGACTGGACATGATTGACGATGGCAATGACGGCGAGCGGAATGTATAAGTAAAATACGTAAAACACAATATGACCAACTGCCTTACATATATACCAGGTACGGCATATTATAGAGCGGCAGCAACGAAGCAGAGAGAGAGAGAGGAGAGGAGAGAGAGAGAGAAGAGAGAGAGAAAGAGAGGAAAGAAGAGCAGAGAGAGAGAAGAGAGAGAGCAGAGGAAAGAGAGAGGGGCGAGAGAGAGAAACAACGAGAGTGCAGAGAGAGAGGGAGAGAGCGAAGAGAGAGAGAGAGAGAGACGAAGAGAGAGAGATGACGAGAGAGAGAGAGAGAGCATGAGAGCAAGAGTAGAGAGAGAGAGAGAAAGAAAGAGAGAGAGAGAGAGAGAGGAGAAAAGGGAGAGAGCAGAGAGAGAAGAGAGAGAGAGGCGAGAGAGAGAGCGAGCGAGAAAGAGAGAGAGAGAGACGAGAGAGAGAGAAGAGAGGGAGAGGAGAGAGGGAGAGGAGAGAGACGAGAAGTGAGAGGCGAGGAGAGAACGAGCGAAGAGCAGAGAGAGAGAGACATAGATAGAAAGAGGCCAGAGCGGCAGAGTAGAAGGATTGAGCTTGATTAAAAGAATAGACATAGATAAGAAAGAGCGCAGGAGGACGGCAGGTAGAGAAGGATTGAGCCTTGATTAAAAAAAAGACAGAAAGTAGGCAAATGGGAGTGTCTAACCTGCCACAATAGAGCGAACCAGCTAGTGCTGTAATTAACTTCCGGCTCCCATCCGGATCATAACTCTGCTGGCTCACTGATAGTGCAATCCACTCTGTTACCCTCGCGCTTTGTCCGTGTAAAGAATTGTGTTTAGTATCTGAATGTTGACGCCGGGATCAATATTCAGCGAAGAGTAGATAGAGTAGGAATTCCTATATCTACTCCTATCATTATACCACCTCTCTGTCTTCCTCTTTCTCTCTCTCTGTCGCTTGTCCCGGTCCAGGTGACACTGAACAAGCTGGTAGGCGGGATTCTCATTCTTATGTAACAACGGGCGGTCCTCTGTCTTCTCTCTCCCTATGTTCAGTCTCTGTCGAAATACGTGAACTAACATTCCGGCGAATTTCTTTTCTTAAGCCCCCTCTCTTCAGATCTCTGTGCAGTTACCTGAACAATTAAGCACCGTTCACGCGGGATTTCCGCATAGAACTCTCCTTCCCTGCCTCAACACCCCTCCCGAAACATTATCTATTTATTCATTTTATTTATTCCTCGCTCAATTATACTGTCACCTCCGCTTAACCACCCAAAATTCCTTCTCTCTCTTGCTCCTCTCTCTCTCTCGTCCTCTCATCCGCTCTTCCTCTCTCTCTTCTCTCTTCTCATCTCTCTCCTCTCCTCTCTCTCCGTCTCTCTTCTCTCTCCACGCTCTCTCTCTCTCTCTTCTCTCGAATCGCTCGCTCTCTCTCATCTCTTCTCTCTCTCTCTCATCTCTCTCTCTCGTCTCTCTCATGTCTCTGATCAGTAACCCTGAACCAGCATATACGTCGGGATGTTCTCTCATTAACAACCCGAGCGCTCTCTCTCCCCTGTCTGCTGTCAGCTACTGAACAGAGCAGATCGAGTCGGTTCGCAAACTGGACTGCGAAGTCGCGACTGGGAGCGGTACGAGCACGACTTGACTTTACGACAGCGCAAAGGAGATGGAGAAGAAGAACGTGAAGCTGCGAGAGAGGGCAAGCCAAATCGGACCAATAGGAGCGAATATCCATGAGAGGTTAACTATTCGCTAACCCGGCGCCAAAGTTGCATCACCGAAATACAGTTATCCATCGGGAGAGACATTGGGTACGCCGTGAGTGAGCCCCACTTTCTATAATCCGGCCCTCGTTCATCCTGGTAATCTCTAACGCCGCGTTGTTTTTTCAACCGGTTTTGAGTCTCCCGCCTAATCCTATAATTTAGATTTTAGCTTAATTAAACTATTAATGTAGTTTAATTTAACCTTTAACTTAAATATTAATTTAATAGGGCGATAACACAGTTCTTATTTTGTGTTTGAGCAGATCAATAAGCCAGTCATCTGTGTACATGTATGGCGGCCGGAATAGCTTTTTCTCTCTCTAGCTTATAGAGTTCTGGTTATCATGGTGATATTACACATTCTAAATACAACCAATTCTAGCGGTGGCCAGTCATTGCCGCACTTGATCCCCCGGCCACTGGGAGGCCCACGGTCGCGCTGTGCGTCGAAGATATAGGACGATGCGATAGTTAATAAAGGTGCGATATATTATGTGAAGAGTACTATTCAAGATACTGATGCACACTCCCCTTCATGTTACTTCACGTATACGACCTCATTACTGCAACGCGTGAGCATTCTCAACACTGC